GTAGTTGTGGCACACGGGCTTAGTTGCTCTGTGGCATGTGAGATCTTCCCGGAGCAGGGCTCAAACCTGTATCCCCTGCATTGGCAGGCGGATTCTTAACCACTGCGCCACCAGGAAAGTCCTGTTACTTATTTTAGACCTTACTCTTAACAGTATAGAGTTTACTTAAAAAACTAAAAGTAGAGTTACTGTATGATCCAGCGATCCCTCTCCTGGGCATATATCTGGCGAAAACTATAATTTGAAAAGATACATGCACCCCAGTGTTCATTGCAGTAGTATATACAATGGAAGGAACCTAAATGTCCATTGACAGATGAGTGGTTAAAGAATATGTACGATAGACTATTACTCAGTCATAAAAAAGAATGAAATGATGCTGTTTGCAGCAATATGGATGGACCTAGATATTATCGTACTAAGTGAAGTAAGCCTGACAGACAAATATGATATCACTTGTATGTGGAATCTAAAAAAAATGATACAAATGAACTTACTTATAAAACAGAAATAGACTCACAGACATAGAAAACAAATTTATGGTTACCAAAGGGGAAAGGGAGAGGAGGGATAAATTAGGAGTTAGGGATTAACATATAAACGCTACTATATATATATATAAAATAGATAACCAACAAGGACCTTCTGTATAGCGCAGGGAACTAATACTAAATATCTTGTAATAATCTATAGGGAAAAGAATTTTAAAAAGAATAGCTATATATGTATGTATAAGTGAATCACTTTGCTGTATACCTGAAACTAACACCGCATTGTAGATCAACTATGCTTCAAAAACAAAAAAGTTAAACCTTACTCTTAAATTGTCTTCTAAGAAAGTCAACAGAACAAGAGTATTTTTGGATCACTATGTAAGGGGAGTATTGTTATTGCATATTAAAATATTTGTAGCATCTTTTGTAAGTGGTTGTTATATATTTTTGTCATTTTTCAGATGAGAAAAATAAAAATGCTAAATACTAAGAAAAATGGTGATTCTGTCAGAGTTCCCAACTCCATCGTAAACAGTGTGACATTTAGTGTTCACGTGTGATGAACTTCCATATCAGAGGAGGCTGGGAGGATTACTGAATGAGTGTAACATCTGTGATTCCGTTGAGATTTTTTCCCTCTATTAATTAAAATACTTATTTTGGTTATAGTTTGCTTTTAACATGCTTATTTTAGTTTGCTTTCTGTTTTTCTTGTTTTAAGATTGTAATTAGGAAGCACTGGAGTGAGGAAGCTCAGGTGAGCTTGGTTAGTATTAGTCCGTTATTTCTTCTTTGGAAATGCACATACTGTATAGTTTCTCTCAGCTTACCCATTGTTATTTGTAATGTTTCTTCTCACTAGGAATATATAAAAGGGGGATTATTATGGAAAATTTTAACCAAGTTCTCTTCCCTTAGAATGTTTAAAGTTTCATTGTAAAGGCAATTAGTATGTATTGTTATCAAAGAAACTACTTGTTTTTTAAATTCTAACATAATTCTGAATAGTGCAGCAATTAATAAAATGAACATTTAAGTGGTGCTTAAGCCCATTTTCCTAAGAATGAGACAAAATTGAAGCTTTGTAAATGTACATTAATACGTTTTCTTTATGTAATTTTGAATCTCATGTAAATGAATTTGTAGAATTAATCACAGTAGAAGGAATCCATTTTGCCCTTTCCAAGTGAAGCTCCCATAGGTACAGTTGGGTTGCTCTTCTGGGTTGCTTTAAGGGCACTTTAGCAGTTTTAAAAACTTAAGTACTAATTTCATAGCCAGTGTCAGCTGAATTTATTGAAGTAGGTCAGACTCTGGAAAGAAACTTGTTTCTCAACCCTGAAGAGAGTCATTATCCACTCTTCTCTTTGTTAGAGAATGGTAATAAATTCTTCCACACTGACCCCAAGTCTAGAGCAATTTCAGAAAATCTAGATAGTTGGATTTTTTCGGGTGTAGGAAACTACTTAAGATCCTCTATGACTTAAGTAGTTTCCTATGCCCACTGTATAGGTATTATCCCAGTGGGCCAAAAACAAGCAAACAAAAGCAAAAGAAAAAAAATAAAAATCAATTCCTTTCTCCCTGTAGATAGCAGCTGTATCACCAAAAAGAGAAACTACCCTCACAGCACACACACATCTATAAAGTGCACGCGTAAAGATGCAGTTAATTCAGTGGGAAATTATTTTCCTTCTTTAAAAAAATTGTAAGTTAATCCCCCCTCCTGTTCAGTTAACTGAGCAAGTTTTAACTCAAAGTATGTACTATATGCCTAGCAATATGTTTCCTGTGAACTCTGGGAAAATCACATTCTATGTCCACTGGAATTAAAATTCTTATTTGGGTAGCTATTAGAAAATAGTATAATCATGTGACAAAATATATGATACTGAAAATATAAGTATTATGAGAAGTAAATAATTTTTTTTTCCTTTTTAAAATCTACTTGACTTACCTATTTTGATTTCTACATTTTTTCACATGCTGTTTATTAAACAGAAGGAGGAGATATAGCTCTGAGATACTGTGGTAATGGGTTTTCAATTCACTAAACAATTGATATATTTCAAGTTTGGTATTTATTTTTTGTTATGGCTATTGTCTTCTATTTCCTATTCAAATCATGGCTCTACTGTTTACTCTCTGACAAGGACACAGGTATTGAGATTTAACGCTGGTGGGTTTGAATGTTACTAGCTGTGTCTTATTGGCTGTGTGACACTGGGCAAGTTATTTTAAAATTTCAGGGTCTCAGTCTCCTCATCAGTAAAATGCTGGTAAAATCATAGGTTGCAGATCAAATGAGTTACATCTAAAGCTCTTGGCATTTTATTTTGCTCTTAAGTACTTAATAAAGTTTTCACTACTGCAGTTGCTAATAATTCATTTTCCTTAATCACTCTGACAATCCCTAGCCTAATATGAAGAAAATAAGTATTTCAACACTTGCTTGTTAGACTTACTGTAATGAATAATAAAATAATATATATAAGCATGATGTCTATAGTTTGCCCTTAATAAATATTAGTTCTAAGAAGTCAATAATTAATGATCAGTATGTTTTTAATTTATAAGGGAAGGTTTTGTGGAGAATTTGGCAGTTGGGATGGTTCTTAAAGGTTGGATACGAGTTGATAAAAGAGGTGTATGAATAGGGAGAGGAAGTAAGCAGCATGAGCAGAGGCTTGGAATTTCAAAATGCCAGATAGTAACTTAAAGATGTTTTGAGACAAGAACCAGTATATGGGCATTGTGTTAAAGTAGCCTTCGCATAATTAATTGGTCTGCCATCACAAACTGCTTAGTGTTGCACATTCAGTAAGTGGAAAATCAGGGACTCAAAAATTCAAATCTTTTTGAACTTAAAATCCTTGCTATATCATACTGATAATATTGACATCCTTCCTACATCATCATTCACTGAGAATCTGCTAGGTGCAATTACATCCTGAGAATGCAAAAGTGAATAAGATACGGTACTTTCTAAGAGAGAGACAGGGGTAGGTTTGTTTGTGTGTATACATGTGCCTGTACTGTGGGTAATTTTTTGCGGCAATCACTCAATGTGTATATGCTTTGGAGATGTTAACCTTCTTTTCCCATGATTATCTCATACTGGGAGTATCTCCTTGGGTGGAGATGCTAGCATTTAAAGAATAGTGGTATAATACAGCTGTTAAATGCAAAAAAAATCTACTTAATATAGTGTTCCAAAGCTGGAGAACGTCTGGGTTAGAGTTCGGTGATTGATAACATATCATTCACCAATGTGGCACACCTTCCCAATGGATTAATGAATATATTTGACTATATGTGATTTTCACTTGCTGATTAAGAAACCTGTGTCTGTACTGTACCTATTTGGGCCTTCTCACAGTTTTGTAGTCAACTGCTAGCTAAATAGTGGTTGTTTACTATTTACTAAATGGAATTACCTTTATATCATTTAAAATGATTTAAGGTTAACAACCTACCTTAACCAAGTTGTGAGGCAATACACAGTAGGAACCAAGAACATGGCTTATGGAGCCAGTCTGCCTGGGTTCCAGTCCAGACTCTGCTATTCATTACCTGGGTGACCATTGCCTCTGTTTTGCTAGCTGTAAAATAGGGATGATAATAATAACTGCTCCATTGTTGTATTTGGCATGTAGTAGACACTGTCAATTGTTAGTTATTAAAGATCCATTATCCTTATTTGCAATTTTGAAGTAAAAAAAAAACTATAAATTGGCAGTTTTTATATAACTCATTTGACATCAAAGCCTGACCTAACCAATGTCTTTGCAATATGTAGTCCGTTTTTGGTTCTGTACTTGACCTTAAGTTATTTATGCTTAGCTTGTGAAAGCCCTTGGTAAAATATAGACATTTGTTATTATTATTGTTTTATGATACTTATTGGGCAGTATAGTTGACAGTCTTTCTCATGAAGTAAAAATAAACTTGGATATCTTATGATTAGTATTATCAACTAATTAATTAAAAACTAATTAAGGGACTTCCCTGGTGGTCCAGTGGTTAAGACTCCGTGCTTCCAGTGCAGGGTGTGCAGGTCTGATCCCTGGTTGGGGAACTAAGATCCCACATGCCGCGCAGCATGGCCAAAAAAAAAAAAAAAAAACTAATGTTAATAACTAATTAATGTTAACAATATTTATTGAATGTTTATGTGTGCCAGATACTATACAGGTTATTTTATGTTCATTAATTTCTTTATTCCAACAGTCCTTTAGGTGACAGTATTGATTCTGTTTGTAATGTACTGAGGCTTAGGGAGGTTAAGTCATTTGCTCAGGGTTACACAGTCACTCAGTGTGCTAGCAGTGCTAGGATTCAGACCTCATCTCTCTGACTTTTTAGGTAACTTCTGTGTTCTTTTCCTCCACCTATACTATCTCTATAATTTAGAAAATTTTCATAAGGATTTTATTGCATAAGGAAATAAAATCACTGATATACTAAAGTGTATTTTTATTTTGCTTTTTTTACCTTTCATCTTAGGTGCTGGAAAGCCCCCTATGTTTGGTGATTATGAAGCTCAGAGACACTGGCAAGAGATTACTATTAATTTACCGATCAAACAATGGTATGGATAATTTTAACTTGATTTTATTATCGGTCAGTTAATGTAGATTATTTGAAGATACTTAAAAGGAAAATATGCTATTTCTTCATCTTCAGAATCCTCATCTTCCTGTACTCTGATGTCACATATATTACCCTGCATACTGTTGGTCCATTTTGAAATTTCATCCTCCTGAAAGTTACCCATATATTTAGTTACCAGCTGGAATATGGTGCAGAACTAGAACTTTGAGGATAGGACACTGTATGCCATGGAAGATCCTCAGGACATAAACTGTGGAAGTTTATGGACTAAGAGTATTTCTTCTGGAGGTTTCGCAAAGCTTCCTCCTGTAAGGAACATATGAGATGAAAAAAAAGCAGTAGCTTCGTGGTGAAGAGTGTAGGGCTAGAGTCAGACTGCCAGACTTCAGATCAAGGCTTGTCCTCTTTACTAGCAGTGGGAGCTTTTGCAAGTTATTTAACTATCTCTGCCACAGTTTTATCACTCATAGAATGGAAATAATAGAATACATATTTCACTGGGTTATTGTGAGGATTAAATAAAATGATTCATTTAAAGCACTTTAGACCAGTGCCTGAAGTGTAATGAGTTCTCAATAAATGTTAGCTGTAGTTATATCTCACAGAAATCCATGCACTGTCATTTTTGTTGAACACATTCTGATAACAATTGATGACGGTATTTTTTTACTTATTAGGTGCCTAGTAGATTATTGATTAAACCTGGCTATGCAAACTGTTTATATTGTTATGTTGATTGCTTTGGTCACTGCTTTTATATAACTCCTTTCTGAGAGAGTTACATACAAGAAGTTCATATTGAACTCTCTGTTAATAGGTTGGCTGTACCCTAGTCCAAGTTTGGAGTATTTAAAATAGAGGCAGCTAAATATTTGATACTATTCTTTTTTTTTAATAGGTGTGTGCATGTTTGTTTGTTTATTTACTTGACCTCACTGCGCAGCTTGTGGGGTCTTAGTTCCCTGACCCGGTACTGAACCTAGGCCATGGCAGTGAAAGTGCCGAGTTCTAATATTTAAATGGTGTGATTTCTTTTTTTTCCCCTAGTTTGAAGTTCATTGCTGTATGATTCATAATGACTATCACTGAAAAAGATATATCTCAATGGCACAGTTCATAAAACAGAAAATATATCCTTGGGACAGGTTCACTGTTATCAACAGTGGATATAAATCTATATTGAAAATAACATTTCTAATATTCTGAATTTTTTGGCTAATTTTGTCAAATTTGATTAGTTTGCCATTATTGTTACCTAGCAATGTGGCTGAGGAATGGTTTCTCATTTTTTAACTTCAGTTTTCCAAGAGTGGGGACTTCCCTGGTGGTCCAGTGGTTAAGACTCCATGCTCCCAATGCAGGAGGCCCCTGGTTCAATCCCTGATCAGGGAACTAGATTCCACATGATGCAACTAAGAGCCCACATGCCACAACTAAAAATCCTGCATGCCGCAACTAAAGATCATGTGGCAACTTAAAACGCCACGCAGCCAAATAAATAAATAAATATTAAAACATTTTTTTTCCAAGAGTGAAATCTTTCTGTCTTCATCTAGAAAGTTAGCCATAGTGTAGTCAAAACTTTCAAGTGACAAAGTTGTCTAAAATGTGAAATCAGGATCTATGAGGTAAACTTTAAAAATGTCAGTTTTGGGACTTCCCTGGTGGCACAGTGGTTAAGAATCTGCCTGCCAACGCAGGGGACACAGGTTTGAGCCCTGGTCTGGGAAGATCCCACATGCTGCGGAGCAACTGAGCCCATGCACCACAACTATTGAGCTTGCACTCTAGAGCCTGAGAGCCACAACTACTGAGCCCGTGTGCCACAACTACTGAAGCAGACGTGCCTAGAGCCTGTGCTCCACAACAAGAGAAGCCACTGCAGTGAGAAGCCCGCACACTGCAACGAAGACCCAATGCAGCCAAAAATAAATAAATAAAGAAGTTTGTAAAAAAAAAAAAAGTCAGTTTTATAATTCTAAATTTAAACACTTATTTATTCCATTTCAATATACATAGTTGTAAGTAATAGAGGAAAATTGAACTTTTTTTCTTTAATTTTATAATGACAGTTCTTTATGTGTGAAGTCAGGCGTACTTTTGGCATCAAGTAGTAGAAAGCCTAAGTAATAGTAGTTTAAGCAATAAAATAATTATCTCAATAAGTAGGTCTTTGCAGGGCTGGTAAACTGGCTCAATGATAGCAATCAAGGGACTTCCCTGGTGGTCCACCAGTCAAGACTCCGCACTCCCAATGCAGGGGGCCTGGGTTCAATCCCTGGTCAGGGAACTAGAGCCCACATGCCTCAACGAAGATCCTGCGTGCCGCAACTAAGACCCAGCACAGCCAAATAAATAAATAAATATTAAAAAAATAATAATAGCAATCAAGGACTCAGGCTTTTCCATTTTTCTTCTCTTTCATTCATTCTTCTTGGCATGTTGGCTTTTCATCCTGAGGCTTTTCACCCCATGATCAATAGATGACTGCCAGGGCTACCAGCACTGTTACTTTGTACAACCATATTCAAGGCAGGAATAATAGGAATACCTTATTTTTTACCTCTTTTTTTGTTCAGGAGTAAAATCTTTCCTACCCTTAAAGCAATCATTAATAGAAGGAAACGCCTGGCTCAGTGCAGGTGTGGTTTATACCAGGGTTAGGAGAAGAGTCCACCTACCCTAAGCATGTTGCTTTTTAAAAAAAATCACAGGTTTATAAGTCAGGAATTGTGGGAATGACTTTATTTCAGCATTGTTTATAATTATGAGAAGCCTGAAACACTCTAAATATCTTTTAGTAGGTGAATGATAAAGTACATTTCTCCTGTGTACATGTTTTTCCTAGGTAGATTCCTAGAAGTGGAATCTCTAAAGTAGCCAGTTTTAATGGATACCAACACAAGAATATCTCTTCCCATATACCCTTACCAATATTTAATAATAACAATTAACACCAGACTTCTAAAATTTCCATTTCCTTCAGTACTTATGTTGTTGAGTATCTTTTAATATATTTACTGACCATCATATTTTTTCTCAAATTTGCATATTTATATATTTCCCCCATGTTTCTGATGGATTGCTGATCTTTTTTGTAATGATTTTTATATGATTTTAAAATCAACAATTGCATTAATTTTCTGTGCTGTGTTAACAAGTGACCATAAATGGTACTTACTTAAACACACATTTATTATTGTAGTTTCTTTAGGTTAGAAGTCTGGGCACAGCTTAGTTCAATATTATGATCAGGGAGGATCTCAGGAGGTTGCAGTCCAGTTGTCACCTGAGGCTGCAGTCTTATCAGAGGCTCAACTGGGGAAGGAACTGTTTGTAAGTTCCCTCAAGTTATTGGCAGAATTAATTTCCTTGCATTTACAAGACTAAGGGCTTTGCTTTCTTGTTGGAAGCTACCCTTATTTCCTAGGGTCTACTTGCAGTTTCTTGCCATGTGGCTTCTCCAGTATGCCCACTTACTAAAACATGACAGCTTGATTCTTCCAAGTCAGTGAAAGGGAGTCTCTGTAGCTTTGCCAGCAAGATGGAATCTTACATATACATAAAACATAAGCACAGGCATGACCATCCTGTCACATTTGTCGTATTTTGTTGTTTACAAGCAAGTCACAGGTCTTGCCCACACTTGAGGGGAGGGGATTGATTGTACACACTTAAGGCAGGAACACCAGGAGATGGGTTCATGGGGATGACCTTAAAGTCTGTCTGCCACAGTATTCAACAGTATACAATAGTATTCTATATTTTAATCAGTTTTTGGTGTGTGTATATGTATAAAATAAATATCTTCTTCCTGTTTGTTCTTGTCTTTGAATTTTTCTTATGGTGTCTTTTGTTAAATAAATTTTTACATTTGATGTTCAGAAGCTCTTTGAACTGTTCTTGAAACTTTTAAGTTTGGAACTATTTATTTTTTAATTTTATTTATTTATTATTAATAAAAATTTTTTTTGGCTGTGTTGGGTCTTCGTTGCTGCGCACGGGCTTTCTCTAGTTGTGATGGGCGAGGGCTTCTCTTTGTTGCAGTGTGTGGGCTTCTGATTGCAGTGGCTTCTCGTTGCAGAGCAAGGTTTCTAGGTGCACAGGCTTCAGTAGTTGTGGCATGTGGACTCAGTAGTTGTGGCTCGTGGGCTGTAGAGCGCAGGCTCAGTAGTTGTGGTGCACGGGCTTAGTTGCTCCATGGCATGTGGGATCTTCCTGGACCAGGGCTCAAACCCATGTCCCCTGCATTGGCAGGTGGATTCTTAACCACTGTGCCACCAGGGAAGTCCTGGAACTATTTTAAATTAAAGTATATTTTTGTGAAAAGCAAAAATACCCATGATATGTTAGAAAAAATTACATTTTGAAGTTAATGATAACACTCTTGAATATAATTTCGTTCCTTCCCATTCTGACCAGTTAGAGGCTGTTAAGTTATGAACATTAGATCTAGCTTTCTTCCTTAATTCACAGAATTTTGCATGTAATAGGCCCGCATTACATGTTGGTTGAATTGTGTTCAAAGTGTTATTAATAAAAGTATACCTGTTTCATGCAATATTTCTTTCTTTGTAAACCAAATCTTTATGTGGTCTTGGACATTCATTTTTTATTTAAATTGTGATTTCATATTGTTTCTTTAATTTTTTAGACTGTCAGAAGCAAATTCTCTTTTTGTTGCATATTTTCTTTTCTATAAGTGTTGGTCATTAAGTTTACTATTAGTAGAGTGATAACAAGTTCCGGTTTGCCTGTGAGAATCTTGGTTTGCCTCTGTTGTTATGGCTTAATTATTTACAGCTTCTTTCTTAAGAGTACCTTGGTTTAGACAATAAATTATTTAGTCACACTACTCAATAACAACTTTTAATTGTGAGTTCACAAAAATTTTTAGGAGAGAGGAGAAGTTTAGATGATTTTTTTTTTAACCTTGTATAACATTTTTTCATGTTAATTAAGTTAAATGAAGTGAGATGTTAAATATAAGTATTTCTTGAATATTGATTGTTGGAATAGCGCTTTCTTTTTCCTTTTTCTTCAGGTATTTTAACGGCAGTGATAACAACTTACAGTATTGGGGATTGGACTATCCACCTCTTACAGCTTACCACAGTCTTTTATGTGCATATGTGTAAGTTTTTCTTCCTTAACATAACTTTAAATATTTATGCCCTTAGCAGATGTAGTAAGGAAGAGTTTGTTGAATAGAGAAGAGGTCGTTTGTAGCTACTATTGTATTATGGTTTGTAGAGCACCATACCTTTATAATTGGATTGTAGGAAAGTTTATCAGAGTTTGACTATTTTCATAAGTTTTTTGGAGGAAAGTCTAGAAAGAGATGCAAAAATCTAGCTTTGTTTTGAAGTAGAGATGTTACCAACTACGCATGGATTACTGAGAAATATATCTAATACGGTTAGTTGTGCATAGAAAAGCTTTTTTCCTGGCATGGCCCAAAGTAAATGAGAAATAAAGGTCTAAATGGTATTCTGACTAGCCTGTCAAGTAAGAAACTAGAAGTACCGTAGTGTTTCACTTATGATTTAAGATCGGGATTGGAATTCCTTTTTCTTTTACAGAAATGGAATGGTTTATAGAAGATTAGGTGCTTCTGTTTAGTGGAGAACCAGTTCTGCTCTGTCCTGGTATATATTCCATTTCAGACTTGAGGTGTATCAGCAGACATTTGAGGAACTTCTTCACATTATCTTCTGAACTCATTTTTATTTGTTCCATTTCATATTTTGTAAAAATTAGCGTCCTGGATTAAAAATAAGTTTCCAAACTTCAGGATAATCAGATACACTTTGCAGTGTTCTGGAGAATGCAGTATGATTGAAAACTTAATTTATCTTTAATAATTATGTTCAGTTTTATGCAATGATTAATAGCTATTTATTGTAGCCTATTATGATGACTGAAAAGATGATAAATTATAAAACTGTGATCCTCTTGTCAATATTAGTGTATTGCTCTTTACAAAGTATATGTTTAATAAATGAAATGTGACATCAGATTGTTTTCACACTGGAAGAATCATGAAGGTAGGGCTTTTATTTAACACGCTACATGGGTTTTTTGGAAGATAAGCATGGCAGATTCTGATAGCGTTAGTCAGTTTCACATGGTTAAATACAAAGAGTAACGCTTAAGCCTTAACTCCATTGCTTTATAGGAGCAATGGCCACTTCTCAAAATAGATTCATATGTCCTCAGATGTCCTTACTGCTAAAAGTAATGGGGAATAAAGTGCATGTACATATGTTTGATTTGCAGGGCAAAGTTTATAAATCCAGACTGGATTGCTCTCCATACATCACGTGGATATGAGAGTCAGGCACATAAGCTCTTCATGCGTGCAACAGGTAAAATAGCAATAGGCATTGAGTATAAAATTTGATTAAAATTTTTTTTGAACTGATGACAGGTTCTATTATTGTCCTTACTTTTATAGTTGTGTAACTATAAATATGCATATATATGTATAATATGTGAGCAAATGTATATGTAAGCTAAAAAACAAAAGAGTAGAAACTAATAATTCTGGGTGCTTTACATTTACTATTATCTTCCTTAATAATTTGGACACCCAAATGAGGTAAATACTGTTGTTATCCTTGCTTTAAGCTGAGGAAACTGAGCCCTAGTAAAGTGAGGCTAATATTAATAGCTCACCTGAAGTTGGTTAGCTCTAAATTAAAGTTTTATTTGTTTAGGCTGTTGCTTTAATAAATCCCTTTCACTTTTACAGTGAATTACAGCTGTATGTCATATATTGTATTGCTGTGCAGTGTTGCTAAATTAATCTTTACAACAAATGTTTATTGAGCATTTATTGTGTGCTGTTTAAGAGTTGAAAGTAATAAGCTTAAATTTCTTTAAAAGCTTTACAAGACTTAGGCTTTAATGCTAGCCTGGGTCTTTTCCTTAATTAGTCTAAATCTAGTCAGGGTTTGTTCTCTTTACTATTCATCCAGTCGTGGAATATCAGGCCCAAGAGATAACTTGTATTGCCTGTCTTTCTCTCTCCCACACCACTCCCTCTTCCCAAATGCTTTAATGCTTTAATCCTTTTTGAACCACATACTCACCACATGATATTTAGCTTCTGACCCAATACCTGTATCTGCAGGGAACTTACAACCTTTAGAGACTCTATTCTATTTTCAGAGAGCCCCAGTCATTAGAAATTCCTTCTTTTTTTTTTAGAAATTTCCTTCTTATATTGAACCTTCACTAGTCATTTTAGGTTCTGTTTCCTTGGGCTACATAGAACAAGTCTGATCCTTTATATATCTAACACCCTTCAGACATTTGAAGTCATCTCCTCTCGAGGTTGAACATTCGTAAATACTTCAGCTGTTTCTTAGACGACCAGTTTCTTGAATGTGATTATGGTTTTGAGGCCTCTGGTTGTGCTCCTTCAAATATGTTACAGTTTGTCAGTGTCATCTAAAATGTGGCATCTGGAGCTGAAAATAGGATTGCATGCATCTAACACTGACAGTTTACTATCATTTATCTTATTGTGCACAAATATATATGTGTGGTACAAGAAAAAAATAGGCTTTTTGGATAGCTATGTTGTACTGTTGAAGAACTTAATATATTAGTTTTCCTTTGTTCTAAAAGGACTGAACATTCAGAATTATGAATTGCTTTATTTTTTCCCCCACTTTTTTTCAGTTTCCTCCTCACCTGGACCTATCAAGCTCTTTGTAGGCATTAATTAGCAAAAATTTATGACTTTTTATAAATATTCACATTAAAAAAGATTCTCCTATGCATCTCCACATTTGAGGTATTGTTCACATCAGAAAATTTGGAGTATACAGATATTGAGGCGAAAATGAAAGTTTCCTTCCCTTGCTTTGAGTATTAATTTTTATGTCCAAGTCAGAGCAAAGAGAGAACTGGTTTTAGATACAGCTACTTGATTTAATGTGTGAATTTGTTAGAGAAAATTAAGAGACTCTAGTACTGTATCAGTTGAAATTAGACACAGGTGAAGGGAATGGAAAGTGCTCAAGGTGGAAAGGACTTGTCCAGAGTGGGTAGGAACCTCTTGTTAATAGAATTCCCACTCGGGGTTGGAGGAAGGCTGTTAATAGGTTATAGTAGATCCTGATGGACTCAACGCTTAAAATCATTTGCTTGTTTTTTCAGTGTTAATTGCTGATTTGCTGATTTACATACCTGCAGTGGTTTTGTACTGTTGTTGTTTAAAAGAAATCTCAACTAAGAAAAAGGTAAGTTTTGAAGTAACCTGACATTTCATCTCTGAAATGTTTTATTACCTTAACTATTAAGTGTAGAGCTTAAGGAAGTCATGCTTTCGGGAATAGATAATAGGGAACAGTATATCTTCTGTCAATTAATTTTCATTTAGAAACATTAACTTAGAGTAATTATTTTAATGTCCAAATATAGTAATAAGATGCACTGAATTTTAGAAGTTATATACTGCTGAATTGTACAGCATGCTAAATTTATTGCTTAACTGGTAAATCTGAAATTTGAGTTGGCTTGTGAGAATGACAACTGAAAGTCATTTTGAAAAGTTGCGATATATTCTCATATTCACAGTTAACGAATATGCTCTTTTTTTAAAAAAAATCAAATGGTTTGTGTTAGAATTTTATTTATTTATTATTTATTGGCTGCGTTGGGTCTTCGTTGCTGCATGCAGGCTTTCTCTAGTTGCAGTGAGCGGGGGCTACTCTTCGTTGCAGTGTGCGGTCTCATTGTGGTGGCTTCACTTTGTTGCAGAGCACAGGCTCTAGGTGTGCAGGCTCAGTAGTTGTGCCTCGTGGGCTCTAGGTGTGCAGGCTCAGTATAGTTGTGGCTCACGGGCTCAGTAGTTGTGGCTTGTGGGCTCTAGAGTATAAGCTCAGGAGTTGTGGCGCACGGGCTTAGTTGCTCCGCAGCATGTGGGATCTTCCTGGACCAGGGCTCGAACCCGTGTCCGCTGCATTGGCAGGCCGATTCTTAAACACTGCGCCACCACGGAAGTCCCATGACTATTCTCTTTGGTCATTTTATATAGATTAATCATTAGATTAATTTATCTGATTTATATATCTAAAAGTGCTTTCTCAGACAAACACATTTTAGGGATTTTTTTCCTTTTTACTGAAGTATACTATGTCACCTCCATGAAGACTTTAGTGTTTAAAGAGTTGCTTTATAAAAATGGAGTATTTCGATAAGTAGAAGGTAAGAGGGGAACATTTGCTACTGTGTTAAATGAAACTACACTTTTACCCGGTTTGATTCAAGTAACAGATTACTTTCTTATTTCACAATAATTTTCTTTACAGATTGCTAATGCATTATGCATATTGCTGTATCCAGGCCTTATTCTTATCGACTATGGACATTTTCAGTATCCTTTACTAATTTAGAAATGAAGTCAGATGCATATCGTGAAATCTAGGCTCAGTTTGTATAATGTTGTCATCTAGTAATGTCTTATTTACTAGGGTTCTTGCTTATATAAACCATTTTTAAAATGGTAAAAGAGTCTCTTCAGCAAGTGTTTAGTTGAAGGGTAAAGTACAAATTAAAAGTAGCAATGTTTTTTCACAACTATTTGGATTGGGAACAGAATGTTGGTAACTGATTAGCTGTTCTGGAGCTAATTCTGAAAAGGTGAAACATTTTCTATCTTTTGTAAATGTTTTCTGATGCTGACAAAAATAGTCTTCCAGTTTTTGAGTTTTAAAACAAAATGTTTCTCTAACAGATAATGGTAGCTGGGAGCTTTAGGAAACTAAAATTGAATAAATCTATGTGGATTTTATGTGTGTAATTTTTGATACCTAAAATAAGGAACATTCAAATAAACAAATTATAGAGGAAAGTTGATAAAATCTGTACATGGCTCTCCAGTTTGTCATCTAATGTATTAAATATTACTGTCTGTCCTAAAGGAAAATAAATAATCCACACCATGATTGCTTAATTAATATTTTTTCCTTTTGGTGCCAATCTGTTTTAGTTATAAATTTAAAATGTGTATCTGTCAAAGGACTTGCAAAAGATATTCAAATAGGTGGTTACTTCCATCATATTTTTTATTCAGTCGTCTTTCCTAATTGAGCCCTTTTTTTTGGCATTATAGGATCATGGCTTTTAGATAGTTTGATAATATCAAGAACACTGATAATAAAGAAAAGAAAAAAGTTGTTTACAAGATTTTTTTTTTTTTTTTTTTTTTGCGGTACGCGGGCCTCTCACTGTTGTGGCCTCTCCCGTTGCGGAGCACAGGCTCCGGACGCGCAGGCTCAGCGGCCATGGCTCACGGGCCCAGCCGCTCCGCGGCATGTGGGATCTTCCCGGACCGGGGCACGAACCCGTGTTCCCTGCATCGGCAGGCGGACTCCCAGCCACTGCGCCACCAGGGAAGCCCTACAAGATTTTTTTAATACTATATTTACTTTGAAATATATATTAACACTCATACAGAGAAGTACACAAAATGTAAATGAATTGGCTATTATCCATGTCGAGAAATAGAACATTGCCAGTATCCAAAACCACACCTGTACGCATCCCAAGTAGTTCTCCTTCCTCCTTTCTCAAAGATAGCCACTTAACCGACTGCTAGTACTGTAGTTTGGTTCTCCCCCTTTTTTGAACTTTCTATGAAAAAGACAACACAGGGCTTCCCTGGTGGCGCAGTGGTTGCGAGTCCGCCTGCCGATGCAGGGGACACGAGTTCGTGCCCCGGTCTGGGAAGATCCCACATGCCGCGGAGCGCCTGGGCCCGTGAGCCATGGCCGCTGGGCCTGCGCGTCCGGAGCCTGTGCTCCGCAACGGGAGATGCCCCAACAGTGAGAGGCCTGCGTACCGCAAAAAAAAAAAAAAAAAAAAAAAAAAA